CGAGCCCATTCTCTATGGAGATACCTTGCTCAGGCTAGGCACGGGATGGGGGTGTGAGGTAAGAGGGGTGGCAGGAGGTGGGGGGAGAGCCTTGGTCCTGTTTCAACAAGGTGATGGGAGACTTAGACTTCCCAGGGGAGGCCTTACCCTCTCTGAGTAGCTGATGGGGGATGGGGTAGAGGAAGGGAAGGGAGTGGGGGGAGCGGAGGGAGGGGGAACTGGGATTGGTATGTAATAAATAAATAAATAAAATTAATACTTATAAGCAAAAGAGGAAATTTTTTCTGTTTTTATTTTATTTATTATTAAAAAGAAAACAAACTATCTTTTTTATTATACATACCAATCCAAGTTCCCACTTCCTCCCCTCCTCCCATTCCCTCCACATAGCCTCCAACCCCACTCTCATCCACTCCTCAGAGAGGGTAAGGCTCATTGCCTTGTGGAAGGTCCAGGACCCTCCCTACTATATCTAGGCTCAGCAAGGTATCCATCCAAAGAGAATAGGCTCCCAAAAAGCCAGTACAAGCAGTAGGGATAAATCCTGGTGCCGGTTGCCCCTCAGTCTGCCCCAGCCATACAACTGTCACCCACATTCAGAGGGACTAGTTGGGTCCTATGCTTGTTCCTTCCCAGTCCAGCTGGAGTTGGTGAGCTCCCTAGCTCAGGCAGACTGTTTCAGTGGGTGAACCCATCATGGTCTTGACCTCCTTGTTCATATTCTCACCCCTCCCACTCTTCAACTGGACTTTGGGAGTTATAAGGAAAATGTTTTAAGAGATGCGCTAGTTGACTGGGAGCAGCGCATTCTAAACACCGGGCGCTAATTATAAAGTAAGGGCCGAGTGGCTAGATTTAGCTTTTATAACCACTTATATGCTCTGAACATGCTGCATATGGTAATTTTTCAATAAAATCGATACTTGCTTAATCTCAAAAGAAGTTATTTGACCCCCATATCAGTGGGTTACCTTCATCCAGGCAAGACTGCCAGCCTTCATCTGGTCTAGAGGCTGCTGGGCCCTCTCATCTAGTCTTAGCTCACACCAGTCCTCTCTTCTTGCCGTTGTGCTGGGGCAGATGCAGACGCCCCACGCCCGCCCAAGGAAGCCACAGATGTGTGGGAGGGCCTCCCCTTCTGTAGCTCCTGAGGAAGTGGGAAGTTCAGAGATTTCTCCTAGTATTAGAAAAGAGCCCCAGGGACAAGGGCTGCAGGCTTCGGCTCCCCTATGCTTCCCCTATGCTGTCCTGGCCGCTGTGAGTTCTTGACTGACTCTGGAAGCTTTCAGGTTACGTTGGCCTGTATGCTGTGATGTTCATGTACCAGTCAAACCAGGGACCTTTACTTTACCCTCTTCTGCTGGTGTCCCAGGCTTGGCACAGTTCTATGTGTTAGAGCGTAAAGTATACCCACAGCCTACTGAGTGGGATAATTTTCACAAGAACGGAGCATAGAGCATCTCTTCCCAAGACCTAGAACAGTGGCCTTGATAGGGCACACTGAAGGGTGAGCAGTCAACACTCCCTCTGTGGTGGACATAACCTGTGTCCGGCTGCTAACAAAAGCAAGTGTCGCTGCTAATAGAGACCAAGAACAGAAAATCTGAGACACACGCTCATATCTGGCCAGTTTAGCTTTGATGAGCCGTGTCATGGCCATTCTGCAACTGCTCCTCCTCTAAAATGGAATTTCGGGAACCCAGAAAAGGATCTCAGTCCCTTTGGCTAATAATCTGAACAACGTTTCGTTGGGAGCAGCTTCCACTCAAGCGTTTCTGTAGACAAGAGCTTTAGAAACAAGGGCCAGTCTGCAAATGTGATCTGTTGCTTCTGCAAGGGAGAGTTCCCAGCCTGCTGTCAGCACACGGGGTCTTCCCTGTGCCCAGATAACTGTGATGGACATTTGCAACACACCCACTATCAGTTCCAAACTCAGATATTAGACAGATGACTCAGAACTAAGTCACTGGCTGCTCTTGCAGAGAACCGGGTTTGATTCCCAGCGCCCACACAGTGGTTCCCAACTGTCTATGACCGCAGTTCCAGGGACCTGATGCCCTCTTCTGGCCTCCTTGGGCACACTACTCAACCATGGTGCACAGACATTTGTACAGGCAGAACACACACACACACACACAAATAGAAAATTAATAATGATGTGGCTTTTCTGAGATATGGATACTCAGAAAACCCAATACACATGCAAAGAAAATAAGGAAGCTTTTATTAATGGATCTAACGTAATTAATTTCAGAATATTTATATTGCAAAGGATACTTATCAATGTAACAAAATCTATAACAACCTTGACAACAGCTCAAACCCTAAATACCAGTGTATTAAAATTTCAAAGAACCACTATAGAAAAAAAAAACGCTTCATCAACCTTCAAAATGTATTCTTCTTCAATAAACTCACACTCAAGGCCAGCCTCGCTAGAGGGGAGATTGGGACAGAGGATTTTGCTTCAAGGTTCAAACTTTATTGAAAAGCTTAATCTGGACAGAAACTGGAGAAACGCAAGGTGTGTGGCCAAGTCTCCAACTACTGTTCAGCCCTTACAAGACAGCAGAGAGCCCACACAACAGAGACACCTGCAGGAGTAAAGAGTGTGGCAAAAAACCTTAACCGGTGTTCAACTCTGACAGAACGTCACAGGATTTATACTGGAGAGGACCCTACAAATGAGAGGCTGTGGCTTTAATGAGAGTGTAAATCTTTCGACATCAGAGTTCATTTTAGAAAGAATTCTTATAGATATGCTGACAGTAAAGGCCTCTTTGGGGCTGGAGAGATGACTCATCGTTTAGATACACCAACTGCTCTTCCAGAGGACCAGGATTTGGTGCCCTGCACCCAATAGCGCCTCACGCTGGGAGACCTAATGCCCTCTGCTGGCCTCTGAGGGCACTGCACAAACATTTTTTTAATGGAAAAAAAGAGACTTTTGTTTCAAATGTACACATAAAAGAAAAGCAAAATATACATTTATAAGACAAAATAATTATTTAAATATGTAAGTGTATAGAAAGCCTTTGTCCACTCCAGACCCTAAGCTAAGGGCTACGGGAGATGAACCGCACCCACACAGGACTCTGTGAGCTAACATGGGCTTCCCAGCTAGATAAGCCCTCTACCTTTGAGCCACACCCAGCCCAGCAAAACCTCCACTGCTTTAACTTTTCTAGATACCATGAGTTGATGTAAATAAACCATTACAGACTCAGAGAATTATGCAGACATTCCCTCTAAAATGATCTGATTGTATTATGTATCTGAGGTTTCTCCATAGCCTTGCTCCTGGACACTGGAGGAAACTCTGACGTAGGCCCTTTATAACCAAACAAGATTCATCCCTGAGAATTTGCCGTCTGTATGCGACACAGCCCAGACAGTGGATTCTGAAATGCTTTTATTCAGATTATGTACAGCTTCACTAAATGAAGATCAACCTTTCCTCTTCTGGGTTTTTTGTTTGGTTTTGTCATTGGTTTTTGTTGTGTTTTGGGGGGTGGGATTAATTTATTCGTGTTAGTTGTTGTTGTTTTGGGGTTTTGTTTTGATTTTGGGTTTTTTTGTTTGTTTGTTTTTTCTTATGTTTTTTGGTTTTTCAAGACAGGGTTTTTCTGTGTAGCCCTGACTGTCCTGGAACTCACTCTGTAGACCAGGCTGGCCTCAGACTCAGCGATCTATCTGTCCCAGCTTCCCAAATGCTGTGATTAACAGTGTGCAGCCACTATGCCTGGCAGAATAAATCTTTTCAATGAGTTGTTACCTTTGTATTTTGAGTGAATTGCCATGGGCATTAAGTTTTTCCATCCTTCTTCAAACTTCTAAGTAACATATACTAATCACACACCCAGGCAAACGGAGCGATGGCTGTCTAGTAACCATTGCCAGGGCTAGTTACTACACCTTGAAATAATCGGTGGTTATTCTTTTCATCAATTGCGACTTGCTTCCTTTTGTGAGAACAATGACAGTCATGGAAGTGTTATTACAGAGGTGCAACAAAAAGTCCCGATCGGGGCTGGAGAGATGGCTCAGAGGTTAAGAGCATTGCCTGCTCTACCAAAGGTCCTGAGTTCAATTCCCAGCAACCACACGGTGGCTCACAACCATCTGCAATGGGGTCTGGTGCCCTCTTCTGGCCTGCAGGCATACACACAGACAGAATATTGTATACATAATAAATAAATATAAAAAAAAAAAAAAACACACAAAAAGTCCCGATCGCCAGGTGGTGGCGCACACCTTTAATCCCAGCACTCCAGAGACAGAGGCAGGTGGATCTCTGTGAGTAAGGCCAGCCTGGTCTATAGAGTGAGTTCCAGAACAGGCTCCAAAGCTACCGAGAAACCCTGTCTCAAAAAACCAAAACAACAACAACAACAACAACAAAATCCCAGATTCCAGAATCTTAAATTAACTTTTGTGAAATTTGAGTAGTTAATTGTTTTCACAGATCATTCCATGACCTATAAAACACACAAACTTTAGTTCGAGGATAGCCTGATCTACAAAGCGAGTTCCAGGACAGCCAGAGCTACACAGAGAAATGCTGTCTCAAAAAAAAAAAAAAAACCAACAACAACAACAAATAAATATATAAAAAGAAGAAGCAGATGGTAGAGGCGAGAGTAGCATTTATGTAAGTGTATATGCTGTGTCTATTCAAAAGGGTAATTATTGAAATGGAAAAAATAAATTTAAAAATAAAATTAAAAGGTAAAATTAGAAATCTCCTCTACCTGAGAAATTGTTATTCCGCCGAAGGACTTATTCTAAATCGGAGCCTAATCCTTGATTGAAAATCTCTGAACACCAGCACAGGTAAGGCAGGGAACCAGACTGGAGGGAGATCCCAGCTCTCTGAGCTCTAACTAGGCCATCGTGCCGTGGAGGATCCAGTGAGCCAACACTCCCTGGGTTAGCTGTGTGAGCCCTCCGGAGCACCAGCTCTGACCCACAACACCGCGCGTTCCTACCCATTCACCACGCCCACCACGCAGTAGTTTCGCTATCTCCTGCACATTGTTATGGCCTCAGAAATCATCCTCGCGCTACCATTGTTTCTAGGCTTATCCCTTAAAAACCTCAAAGGATCAAGAGGGCTCCTGTTGGGTCAGTGCTTTAAGGTCCCAAAGCTGTGCAAACGCGTCCACCAGCTCAATTCTGCCCACTGGACCACAATCTCTGCTCACTACGAGGGTCTCAGGCAGACGCCGCCCTCCCATTGGGGTAGCATCTAGTCTCAGTACGGAAGAGGTTGCTCAGAAGGAAACAAATGCGAAGCAAGACTTAAAGCAAGCTCCAAGGGAGCATGGCGCTCTTGGCATCTGCAACCCAGACCCCTGAACATCAGTCCGCGAGAAAGCAAATCTACGGTATTAGCCGCCGGGTTCCTGCTGCTCTGTCAGGGCAGGCCTAGGAAAATATCAACCACAGTCTGGACTGCCTGTCATCTGCCCGTCATCCCCTCTGGAGCACTCCACAAGGCAGTAAGGGATTGGTGCTCCTCTCGGGCCACAGTCGCTGAGGAGTAGCCACTTCCAATCTGTCTAGTGGCTTTGGTCTTTCTCCTAGGAACAGTGAGGAACAGTTAGGTGGGTTGCATGAGAATGTCCCCCCATAGGCTCACTCATGTGTGCGAACACTCAGTCCCCCGCTGGAGGCACTGTGTGGGTAGACAGCGGAACCTAGGAGGCAAAGCCTTGCTTGAGGAAGAAAACATCACTTCCAGTTCAATCTGCTTCGCACTTTTAAGATGTGAGCTCTCAGCTTCCTGCTTCTGCTGCGACATCTCTGCACTGATATATTCCTCGGCCTCTGGAACCTTAAACTAAAATAAACGCTTGCTTCTCTTAGTCACTTTTGGTCACGGTGTTTTTATCACGGCAACCAAACAGTGACTAATACAGATGGTAAGACTTCTTGGAATCATTCAGCGAGACTCCATCTTGCTGGTCTCAGAGATGGACAGCCCGCTCACTCAGAGTTCCACCGTTCTCCCCAACCCCAGCCATCCATAGTCTGGAACAGTCAAAAATATCCCTTTCAGTCCTAGTGGGGAAGACACCTCAGGAAGGGACCAAAAAAAGGAACTTCACCTGTTCATACTGTCTCAGCAGGGTCCTCTTGGCCCAGGCTAACCCTTTAAGGTTATGAGGACAGACCACGCTACCCACCACATGCTCCTTTCCGAACTGGGACAAAGCCAAGAAGAGGAGAGAAGGAAGCCTGACTCAGGGGCTGAGTGTGGAGGCCTCCCCACCACAGGACAGGGCAGAGCCATGAGGAACAGCCTGCTGCTTCCATCCATGTGGCCTCTGACCAATGCACAGCTGTCTCCTCTCTGGGGTTCCACAGCCACCCAAGGGGCAGTCCCAGGGTCTTCAGTTCACCTCCCCAAAGCAGACATGGTCCATCCGGCTGAGGCAGGCTGAGACTGAGTCTAGTGCCCTCCCAGGGTAGGAGGAAAGAAAATGCCCACATCCCTGGATAGGGGTCAGGTCCTGCTGGACACAGGAAGGGCCACAGGCTGGGGCTGTGTGAGCTCAGGGCTCTGGGTGTGTTCTGGGAAGGCTGAGGGACGGAGCTCCTCACAGGAGTTCAAGATGCAATAGTCGCTGCTGCCCCCGTCTGAGTCCAGAGGAGGTGGTCGGACGGAGACCGGAGAAGCCCAGCCCTCTTGGGGCAGGTAGGCAGATGGCTGTCCTTCCAGCTCCAGACACACTGCGGGCAGCACATGCGCCAAGCCTGGTGGCCCGGAGAAGCCAGGGCCTGCGCCTTCCCACGGCAGGCTGGAAAACTGCACAGGGCACGCTGGACTGTAGGTGAGGGATGTAATGGCCTCCCAGATGCTGGACTCTGAGCCTCCTAATGGAGTGCCGGCATCATTCCGTCTTGGTTGCAGTCCGGTTCTGTGGGCCCCTGTCCAGGTCTGCATCAGAGCAGGAGGCAGGAGAAGGGCTTAGGTAGGTAGTATGTTCCGGACTTACCCTGGGGGCAGCAACCACCCCTGCACAGCCCAGATCTCCTCCTCCAGGAAGTTCCTGGGCCCAGAGCATTCTACCTTCCTCCCACGCATGAAGCACTTAGTCTCTCCAGGCCCCCCAGGTCCCCCCTCAGCCCGAGGCCACAGAACCAGGTGCCAAGGAGAAATGGGAAGATGTGACAGATGCCAAAGACAAAACCATGGCAGAACGCTCATCCAGGGCCACACAGCAGGGGCAGATAGGGCACACCCCCCCCCAAAAAAAAACTACACAAAACTAGAGACACAGTCCGGAGCCTCTGCGGAGCCACAGGAGGTCTGAGCCTCCCGAAGAATGCTGTCTCTCAGCGGGACTAGAAGCCTCCCCTGTGTCTCACAGTCCACTACTGCTGTGCCAGGGAAAGCTGGCCCACAACACCATCCCATAAATACAGCAAAATACGTGCCCATTAGAGATGGGGTACAAATGTAAGCCTACTCTATGTACAAAAGAGACTCGGAGCATAGACAGGCCTCCACTGCTCGTGCGCCCAGTCTAAGCCCAAACTTTGTTTACACAAGGCAGACTTCTAGGCCATATCTCTGCCCCTGTAGTGCCAGACTTGACCCTGCTTCCCTGAAGTTCCCCTGCACACACCTGGAAGTCCCCATTGTACACACTGTAGAGAGGAAGGAAGAAAGGTGCTGGAGAGGGAACGTTCTGGTGGATGATTCTCTTCACCCTGAAACCAAAATAGAAAAGTTAGGACCAAAGGGACCGAGATAGAAGCCTTTCCTAATGCCACACTCCAGAAGGCTTAAGGTCACTGCCAAGACTGGACCTTCTACCTACCAGATGCTAGCCCACTACACACAAACCTGTCCTCAAAGGCCACTAAGCACAGCAACACATGCCTATTGTTTCATCTACCCAGGAAGCTAAGGCAGGAGATCACTTCTGCCCATTTATTAAGGACCAAAGTTGGCAATGCAGTAATATCCATCAAAAATAAATACATAAATAAAACCTCTCAATGAACAGTGTGGGTCACTGTGACCTCTCTGGTTAATGCACATATTTACACCACAGCCTGTGTGTGTTCTCCAATAGTGGGTTCAGGGCCTGGAAGCAACCAGCTGTGTCCTTAGCTCTCAGATGAAGCCAATAGCTCCAGAGATAACATCTGTGCCATCAGCAGGCAGCCGTGTTTCCCCGGTCTCACATACTAATACATGTGTGCTGTGGGACAACGGCCTTGTATTGCTTTAATAAAATGCTGATTGGCCAGTAGCCAGGCAGGAAGTAGAGGCAGGGGATGAGAACAGGAGACACAGGGGAAACCAGACACAGAGGAAGCAAGATGTGAATGCCTTACTGATAAAAGGTACCAACCCACATGGCTAGCACAAACAAGAATTATGGACTATTTTAAGACGTAAAATTAATTAATAAGAAAACCTGGGCTATTAGGCCAACCAGTTTATAACTAATATAGACTTCTGTGTGTTTCTTTGGGGCAGGACCAGGTGGGACACAAACCTCTGGCAACACACGTGTATCCCAGCACACTTAATGCATGTCCACAATTAATTCACACACACACATGCACACACACATGCACACACACACACACACACACACACACACTGGCTACCTACCTGGGGGACAGCTTGAACAGAAGGCGAATAAGGCCGGTCAGCAGAAGAAAGATGGACATAGCAACAAGGACGCTATCCGACCACCGCCAGGATGGGAGCAGGAAGTCTGTGGGCAGAAAGGTCCATAGCTATGAGTAGCCTAAGTGCCAGGATGTTCCCCTAAGTCCACATGGTGGCGGGGGAGTCACTGTTAGTTCTTCGAGCCAAAACAGAAAGAGTTTAGGATGGGCCTTCGGGGTTGTGTTGTGAACCTCTGATGTTCCTGGGGTGACCTCATCTGCACCCCTTCTTTCCCATCTTCCATATGGCCGGTGGTCATCACTGCACAAAGGATCAGCCCAACACTCACAAAGGAATCCCAGGTCTTGTCCAGCCTTAGATAGAAGCAGCCAGTGTGCAGTCCTGGACACCCTTGCTCCTCATGGTGGCCACTAGCTATGAATTAGCACATCCAGAAACAAGGGGAGGGGTTGTAGGTTGGGAAAAGGGAGGAGAGGCAGAAGGAACCAAGGAACAGAGACTCAGCCCAGGCTGTGACGAAGCACCCACCACACAGCACCTACCCTGTCTCCATCTCTGGGGAGAAGGAAAGGACACGGGCTGGCTCCACTCACTCCAATGGCTCTTATAGTATCTCTCCTCTGCCATGTCATCCTCCTCCAGCAAAGTCATCTGGACACGCAGTCTGGCCTCGTAGATGGAGCCAGGGTTCAGCTCGACAGCTTCAAGGCTGAGCCAGGTCACTCCAACAATACGGTCCTTGTGCCGGGCCTGCTGCAGGGTTGGGGGCATTTGACTGAGCGCAGGGCCCTAAAGAATGGACATACATGTACCAACAAGCCCACTCACACCAGTGGGTACATGTACACCTTTACCACATTTACACACTCTCTCCAGTTAAACATTCAGCCAGAGAAGCACAAAGCAAAGATACTCATACATGTACAAACGGGCACACACACACTATGTTCAAAGACACACAAACACAGGTTTGTATGTAGCCAGCACCTACATGCACATCTGATTCTGACTCCCTCTGTCCTCACCACTGACTCGAGCCAGTCCCAGGAGAGAGACCTCAGAGAGCTACCACCAAGTTACCTCCCAGGGCTCTTCCTGCTTCTTGAAGGCCAGCTCATAGTTGAGGTCTGAGCTCCAGGGCTCCAGAGCAAAATGGATGCTCCAGGACAGGACACAGCGCCCAGAGCTGACATTGCTCTGCAGATCCGAGGGGGGATCCAGCTTAACTGAAACAAAGAAGGGCCCAGTGTGGCTGCAGCTACCATTGTGTCCCTCAGCATGGCCAGAACCGGGACCAAAGACATTCAGACCAGGGACCTCATCTGAAGACTACGGCAGGAAAACTGCTTGGTGAAAGACAGTCAATGACTTAAGTCCCTGCAGCAAGGTAATTTCCTTCACAGTTGGCTGCAGGAAGTTCTTCCTGGTGTCCTTCCGGAATAATTCCTGGTGTGACAGGAATGCTGATGTGGGAGTCCCCTCTGTGTGCTGCGATTACCATTAATGAATAAAGAAACTGCTTTGGACCTGTAGCAGGGGAGATCTTAGGAAGGTGGGGAAAGCTAGGCTGAATGCTGGGAGAAAGGAGGCGGAGTCAGAGAGACGCCATGGAGCCGCTGCCAGAATCAGACATGCTGAAGCTTTGCTGGCAAGCCACTGCCATGTGACGATACACAGATTAATAGAAATTGGTTAAATTAATATGGAAGAGTTAGCCAATGAGAACTAATGGGCTAAGCAGTGATTAAATTAATACAGCTTCTGTGTGATTATTCCGGCGGAAAGAACAAGCGGCCCCTCCTCCAACAGAGGGCATTTCCAGTAGCTCTCAGGCTGCAGTCTCTACCCCTACCTAACCACATCTCTTCATTCTTTGCCAAGCCCTGGCTCTGCAGCAGCCATTATGCCTGCTTCCCAGGGTCCTATCTGCTTCCAGGAGTATGTGGTAAGGATTCTCACAAGGGCACTGGCGGCAGGGCTGTCCTACTCACTGTGCCTCCATGGCTGGAACTGCGAGTCCACCAAGCTGACCTGCTCCTGCCCCATGACGCCGTGGTACAAAGTGATGGTGAAGACGTCAGTGGGCACCAACACCTCCTTAAGGGGAAGCGTGAGGGTGCACACACTGCCCTGGAACGGGCACCTGTGCCTGGTACCTGTCACCTGGTTACTGGAAAGGCCGTGTGTTAGCACCATGGATGCTGCTACCACCACAGGGACCCTGTACCCTCCCTGAGCAGGCCTGGCCCTCCATCCTCACTTGGTAAAGATGAGCCAGGCCCTGGATTCCAGGCCCACTTCTGGAGCTGACCAGTGGCAATCAATCCTGAAGAGGCTGTTGCTGAGGCAGGTGAACGTCCCAGCCTTCGGCCCTGAGGATGGGAATGGGGGAGCACACAGTAGGGCCTCAAGGCAGAGCTGAGGTAGGTGGGGGATATCTGGCCAGAACGTTTCCAAAGAAAGTACCAAGAGAATGTGTCAGGGGCAGAATGAGAGGCTTAGGGATGGCTGGGTTGTAACCACGGTAGCAGGGTCATTCAGACCTGAGACCTTTGTGGGGTGGGAGGCGGTGGGACACTAGAGGACAGGTTCCAGCAGTGTCCGGGTCGATGTTTCCCCTGGGTTGTCACAGATGACAACTTGTCCCCAACTCCCCTCTCTATTCTGTTACCTCAGAGAGATGTGGCACCAAACTCTCACCTGCTCCCTGCTCTGGGACAGGGACTCCCCAGCAGATGCAAGAGCAGACACAGGTGTAGATCAGGAACCAGGGGACCAGGACCTGCTTTACTGCCATCCTCTGCAGGGGCCAACCTGCAAAAGACTGAACTGTAGGGCCTGTGGGAGGCGTCCCCTGTGGGAGGTGTCCCCTGTGCTAGGTGTCCCCTGTGTGAAGTGTCCTCTGTGCTGGGCACCCCTGTGGGAGGTACCCCCTGTGCTAGGCACACCATGGGAGGTGTCCCCCATGCTAGGCACCCCTGTGAATTCCTTGTGCTAAGCACCCCTGTGCAAGGTGTCCCCTGTGCTAGGCACCCCATGGGAGGCCTGCTCCGCACAGGGCTCTGCACAGCAGATGCCCTTTTACCGTGTCCTGTGGACAGGACTGAGCACAGCTCTGCAGCTTCAGTGATTAACTGAAGCTTAGAAAAGCCAGCTGACTCAACCAAAGACTGGTGCCTTCGGCACTAAACTGTCCCCTCAGACTCAGATCTCCTGAATCCTAGGCTCTGACAGCATCATGTCCACATTGCCAGCCATCCATGTCAGAGTGGTACCCTCTGCAATACCTGTGCTTTGTCTTGGCTCTTGTTGGTCTGTCTATCTGTATGTCTGTTTTGAAATGGAGCCACTCTATGTAACCCTGGCTGTCCTGGAACTCACTCTGTAGACCAGGCTGGCCCCGAACTCACAGAAATCCTCCAGCCTCTGCCTCCTGAGTGCTGGGATGCTGGAATTAAAGGCATGCGCCATCATGCCCAGTTCTGCCTCGGTTCTGACAACTGTCCAAGGAAAGGCTGCTCATTCACAATGCAAAAGTGAAGTCACATAAATGGTCAGGGCTCTTCTCGGGGGCAAAGGACAGGCCTCTATGCATTTTCTGGCCTGCTACTCCTGAAACAGACTTATCCCCGAGTTATGCCCTGGGGACACAGACGAAGACAGCCGCAAATGTCTATATAACAGACAGATCTTCCCAAACATCATGCTATGCACTGTCCTCAGCTGTCCCACAAAGGGAAGTAAGTCCCTGAGAAGAGCAAGACCTTGAACCCTGGGATCCCTGAGGAGTCAGAGTGGATGGGGACCAGAAGCTGTGTCTCAGGAAGTGCCTGACTTTGTGACTCTACTGAGGCCCTGTCACCCCATTTACATCTACAGATGGCTCCTGATAGCCCCTGAGCAGGAAGCAGGGCCACCCTGGTTATACAAGCCTGATTAGCGATAAGAAAGAAGAAAACATACATGCACAGAGACCACAGTGCTGGCCTTCCAGAAGCCGATGCCACCTCAGCAGACAGCACCCTGACCCACAGACCCAGAAGCCTGTCTACACAATCCAAGACAGACTTCTTTTTTGTTTGTTTTTTTGTTTTGTTTTGTTTTTGTTTTTCGAGACAGGGTTTCTCTGTAGCTTTGGAGCCTCTCCTGGAACTAGTTCTTGTAGACCAGGTTGGGCTTGAACTCACAGAGATCCACCTGCCTCTGCCTCCCAAGTGCTGAGATTAAAGTACCACCACCACCTGGCCCAAGACAGACTTCTATTAACTCCAACCCACCGCCAAGCAGTCTGTTTGTCTGTCTGCACCTCTAGACAAACGACTGAAGCACTGGGATAGAGCATGCAGCCTGGGTCACCAAGGACATGAAAACGAAGCTCCCAGGCACTATATGTCTCCTCTCGTGGTGATTATTGGCAAAGTGGGGACAAAGTATTTATTCTCATATACTCCCAGGGTATCTGAGAACAGGATCCTAGACTCACAGAACCTGGAAAGAGAATGTGGGATGCCCTGTATGCTGTGAACATGTCTTTATTACCATTGGCTACTAAAGAAGCTGATTTAGCCAGTAATAAGGCAGAATAGAACCAGTAGGGGAAAAGAAGGCAGAGTCAGAGGGACACCATCCAGCTGCCAAAGGAAAAAGATGTCTGAGCCATGGCAATACACAGATTAATAAAAACAGGTTAATTTAAGTTGTAATCGATAGTTAGAAAAACTCTGATCTAATAGGCCAAACAGTTTGTAATTAATATTAAACCTCACTGTGGTTATTCCGGAGCTGGCTGGCAGGAGAGAAACCTCCGGTTACACAGCACTGCTGCGACTTCCAGCTGAGAACTGGCACAGACCTCAGGGACTTGCCGCCACTGGAGAGAATCGGCCCATTGCAGCCTCAGGATGGCCCACGAGCAGATGGCTTGAGAGCAGGGAGCAGAGTGACTTCCAGCCCAGTGTACCCCGTTTCTAGCCAGGGCCACCAGAGGCAGGTACACCAGAATTGATGTATGGGATCCAGTGTAGCTATTGTGTGGGCAGAGAGTGTTTCCTCTACGTAGGGCATCTCCATCTGCTCTGGGTGACTCGGGGAGGGTGGGGTCACTACCCTTCTAATAATGAGAAAACAGAGACCCAGAGAAACCAGAGACTAATCCAGCATGGGACTATAGGCCCCTCTGTTTTAGGAAGGGGTCTCCCAAACTGCCACAGCACCCATGAACTTTCTGAGTGCAATGTGTGGGTCCTGGGGCTTGGCCTCACCAAGGAGGCCAAAGTCTTGGACATCACAAGCCTCTCTCTCCCGAAGCTCTACCAGCACAGGCTGGGACATGTCACTGACAGGAGGTCTCCCCTCCTTGACAGACAGACCTTGGGCCAGGTACTTAGGACAGAGGTAGGCAAATGAACACTCACTGGTCCTTGAGGACAGGCTGGCCTGGGCCCAAAAATGTCTAACCACAGCACAGGTTATAGAACCTGTGAGAACCTAGAGGAACCAACACCTGCCATCTTGGAATAGATGCTCCCGGGCATGTAGCCCTGATGTGAAGCCCCACCACTGTCCAGTACACCCCATCACATCAGGTGTGAGGACATAGCCCTAGCCTCTCAAAAAAATTAATATTAATAACAACAACAGCAATATAGCTATGGGCAAGAACATGGCTAGGTAAGTACTCTACAACAAGCCACACCCAAGCCCTGCTCTGCGTACATGTGTGTTTGTGTGTGCACGTACAAGCCCTCATGAGGTACTACCACTGAGCTGCACTCCAGGTCCCGTCCCCCTCACCCAGACAGGGTTTCTCTGTAACAACTCTGACTGCCCTGGAACTCAGACCAGGCTGGCCTCGAACTCACAGAGATCCACCTGCCCCTGCCTCCCAAGTGCTGCGATTAAAGGTGTGTACCATCACCGCCCAGCCAGCAGCAAGTATCCTTAACCACTAAGCCATCTCGCCATCTCCTCTTTTCTTTTCTCCCCAGCACTGGGCATTGAAGGCAGGGCCTTGGGCATGCTAGGAGGCATGCACCTACCAACTGAGTTACATCCCGAGGCCCTGCTTTCTGTCTGACAGGGGCAGGGGAACTCCCTATTCTCCTGCCCACTCACAAAGCCCACAGAAGAGGAGGGTAGGAGTCTGCTCGTTAAGCAAACCTTGTCCAGTAGTGTCTTCTCTTCTCTCTGGAGGGAGACACACTCTCTCCAGCAGCAGCAGGAGCCTGTGGCGTATGGAAGCTGTGCCAGGAAATGGGGCTAGAGGTGGACACAGCATCAAGTTTCCCCTTTGGAAAACCCCACAGTGTGAGGACCTCCTCTCTCACCAGGGGGATCCCAGAGCCTGCTGTGCACAGGGTATGTGAGGACACTCACGATGTTGATGGAGTAGGGACGGTAAGAGCCGGAAGGATGGGAGCCAGTGGACCAGCTGGGTGACAGCCAAGGTGACAGACTGGAAGGAGCAGAGACATTGAGGCAAAGAAGGAAGCCCCCCAGGAGCACCTTCCCGCATACTCCCTGTAGGAAAGGCAGCTAATGGGCAGGCGTTCGTGGCACACTTGGCTGGACTCAGACGAGGCTGCATCTAGAAGCGGTGGGGAGGTGGCTAGGGAGTTCTCCGGGATTTCTCACTCTGTCCCTCCAATGACTTTTTTACCCATCCGAAAGCACTCACCCACCCTCTATCTTAGCTTCCTCACCCGAACCCAGGCTCGGCCAGCTGTGTCTCTCGGCACCCGAACAAGAGGTCCTGGCTAAGGCGGGTTCAAGCAGATGTACTGACACTGTACACTTGAAGGGTGGGTGGGTGGGTGGGTGGGAGGAAATGGTGCCCCACTACTCCCACTGCCTTCGTGAGGAAGTGCCTCTGTGCCCTGCAGCAGGGGCCTCCCCTGAAGCCACCTGCAGGCAAAGCCAACTAAGCCAAATGGGCAGCTCGGGGTGCCTGGTAATGCCCCAGCCCAACTCCTTAACAAAAATGCATGCCCACGTCACTACCAAAGCCACCCGGCCCCAGGGGGTATCCAGGACTTTTCACCAGAGTGGAAGTCATGGATTCTAGTTCACTCCTAGGAGGCTGAGGCCTGGCCAAGAGTAAGCCCAGAGGAGCATCAGTGTCCTGGAAGATCAAGTTAGAGAAGAAAGGCAGAATCCCAGCCAAACAGCCTCCTACAGCCCGAGAACCCAGAAACAGAATGCTGCTCACCCCCACACTCCCTCCTCTCCCTGCTCCCAACCCCAGCGCCCGCCTCTCCCAACCCCACGGAGCTAACCTGGAATTCCACCCACGTACACTGCCTCCCATAACCCTCTTCTGCCATGAAGCTTTCAAAAGATCTGGAGGTCTAGAGGGACTTTACCAACCCTGGGCCTAGGTCATTCAGTCTCGTCCCCCCAGAAAGTTAGCTCCATCGAAGAAGCTTGAGAAAGCAAGGCTTCTTCCACAAGCACCAATACTTCCTGTCCTTCTCTGTTCCCTCGGGGCATGGACAGACTGACACCAGCACCACCCCAGCCCTGAACACTGCAGTGCAGTTTGGCATCTCACGATTACCTCTGCAAAAACACCATCTCTGGGAGATGGTCAAGACCAATGCACCAGACAAGATCAAACGAGGGCGTCACCCACGCCACCAGGGACACAGCACCTCTCTGCCTCCCGAAGCTTGTGTTAATTTGAGAAGAGGGGAGCCCCAAGCACGACTCACCCTCTGAGGCACATCTTCTCAGGGCCATAGAGCGTTGCAGGCAACCCCAGCCAGGAGGTGACTTACTGCCAACAGTCCCTGTGTGAACTGCAAAGCCCCTTACCTGATCCAGGAGATAAGTCTGAGCAGGCGGACACGGGCCACCCACATCTGAAACCACAAGCACATCACAGAGCTACTGTCCTCCGCGGAGCTGAGAGGTGCCTGTCGCCACCTGTTGCACGCCAAAGACTGGTGAGGAGGGATGAGATTTCACTCCACGACCTGAGCATCTCCAAACAGGGACGGTAGATATGCATCTAAGGACGGACAGCGTAAGCGGTGTCCTCCCAGGAACCCCACAGGAGCAGCACAGACAGTGAAGACATGGGACAGAGCCGCGCTTGAGCAGAAACCTTCTAGGTTTTTCCCCTTCGAAGTTTTCTGAGACACAGCACTGGCAGTGAGTGTGAGTACTAAACCTAAGTAAAACCTCAGTCAAGAAAAACAAACAGGCTGGGCGGTGGGTGGGGGCACGCCTTTAATTCCAGCACTTCGAGGTAGAGGCAGGCAGATCTCCGTGAGTTGGAGGCCAGCCTGGTCTACAAAGCGAGTTCCAGGACAGCCAGGGCTGTTACACAGAGAAATAATGTCTCAAAAAAAATAAAAAATAAAAAAACAATACATAGGTAGGTAGGTAGGTAGGTAGGTAGGTAGGTAGGTAGGTAAAAAATTTTCACAGTACAACAGGCAACAGGGATTTCGAAACATGAGATCTTTACCTCCTTCCTCACAAGTGCCCATGTGAGAAAGGACACTTTTGTAAATTTTATTTAGCTTTTGTTTTTTACTTTTTTTTTTTTTTTTGGTTTTTCGAGATAGGTTTTCTCTGTGGTTTTGGAGCCTGTCCTGGAACTAGCTCTTGTAGACCAGGCTGGTCTCGAACTCACAGAGATCCGCCTGCCTCTGCCTCCCAAGTGCTGGGATTAAAGGCGTGCGCCACCACCGAAATCTCTCTATTTATGACTCTGGCTGTCCTGGAACTCATTGGAAGCAGGCTATTCTCAAACTGACAGAGATCACCTGCCTCTGCCTCCTGAGTGTTGGGATGAAATGTGCGTACCACCACACTCGATTTTAGTGGGGTTTTTGGTTTTCGTTTTTATGTGTATGGATATTTGCCTGCACATTTGTCTCTGCTGCTTCTGTATTCCTGGTGCCCTTGTAGGTCAATCAAAAGAAGTTGGATCCCTGTTGTGAGCCATCATGTGGGTGCTGGGAATCAAACCAGAGTCCTCTGGAAGAGCAGTCAGGGCTCTTAACTGCTGAGCCATCTCTCCAGTCCCGAGCACAGTAGGGCCCTTAACCGCTGAGCCATCTCTCCAGTCCCGAGCACTGTAGGGCTCTTAACCACTGAGCCATCTCTCCAGTCCCAAGCACAGTAGGGCTCTTAACCACTGAGCCATCTCTCCAGTCCCAAGCACAGTAGGCCTCTTAACCACTGAGCCATCTCTCCAGCCCCATGCACAGTTGTTTAAACTCACACAAGATTATTAGAAACCAGAGCTGGAGAAGCCACCCTGAAGACAGAGGGCCAGGTATGGTGACTCGTGCCTGAAACCCCAGGAGCGAGTCAGGAGGCGCAGAGTGCAACCTTATTCTCTACAGAGTGAGTTCAAGACCAGCTTAGGCTGGCCCTGAAATAAAACCCTGTCCCAAAAATAAGAAGAAAAAGATTGGGAAAGGGGAATAAATCATATTACACGAAGCACTAACTAAAATAGATCTTCTGGAATTTTGCTATAGGCCTTCTGTGAGGACTACATTTGTTATTATTTTTATGAATTAGTATTAGCATCGTTAGTTTGGTCCTCCTTGAAACCTCACAAAGAAAAAGCAAAGCCATTTGGGCTCTCAAAGCCATTTGTTGGCCAAATGGATCAGTACCATCTCTTCATTTCCTTTGTTTTATTGACTTTTCTACTGTTCATTGCCTAATACATAATAGAGTTTTTATGCAAGAAAAGGTGGCATATTCATCCATATCAGTCAGGGCTCTAGAGGAAAAGAACCAATAGAATTGATACATAGTAAAGGGAGTTGTATTAACCTGGTTTACCCAGTACCTTCCTGGTATCCAACAATGGCTGCCTGCACACTGGAGAGGCTGAGAGCCCAGCAGATGTCCAGTCCTCAGGGCTGGATGCCTCAGCAGTTCTAATCTGATGCTGAAGGCCAGGAGAATTCTTGGAGGGCCACTTGTCTTCAGTCGATATGGGGAAGCTGAAAAGGCTGAGTCCCAGTGTCCCTGGAATAGTGACAGCCACAGAATAGACAAACTCAAAACACAAAAGCAAGCAGGCAAAAAGCAAATCTTTCCCCACAGACTACTTTATATGATCATCTAAGCTGCCACCAGAAGGTGTGGCTCACATCCCAGGGGAGCCTTCCCATCTCAATCAGTGTAACCAAGAAAACCCAGATACCAGAATGGCCAATTACTTAAGGGATCAGACTTAAGAAAATCCATCACAGGCATGCCCAAAGGCTGACCTAAATAAGACCTCACAGATAAACCAAACCTGTCTCACAGGCGATTCCCTGTCCTGTTAAGCTGACAATCAATATTAATCATTACAAGGTCACCCTTGTCAACTTGACACCCAAATACATATCCACCCTTACACCATGCTTAATTTCCAAGCGAAGACAAGATTGTAATTCTGCCTGACGTAACTATCCCAGCACAACCACAAACACAGTACCTTTCTCTCAAAGTAGGTCAGGGTCCCTTTAATGCTTAGTCTTGTAGTGTCCCAAAAGGCAAATACAATAATAAATATTTACAAGACTTAGTAACAGATACTGACTCTGCTTCACAAATGTGTGTGGATGTGGACATATGGAGATACAAATACAGACATGAGGCAGGACAGAAGGGTATGAAAACTATGGTGGCAGAGAAAGGAAAACAAGGAAAGCAAAGAAGCCACCATCTCAAGATCTGGTTGGTCTTTTCTGATGATAAAGACAGAAAACTCAGTGCTGGGCGGTGGTGGCGCACGCCTTTAATCCCAGCACTTGAGAGGCAGAGGCAGGCAGATCTCTGTGAGTTTGAGGCCAGCCTGGTCTACAAGCGCTAGTTCCAGGACAGGCTCCAAAGACACAGAGAAACCCTGTCTCGAAAAACAAAAAACAAACAAACAAAAAAGAAAACTTAACACAGCTAACAAAGCCAAGATTGCTGGCCCCGTACAGGTTTGAGAGGAGACATTGCAAACGAAAATGTCAAAGACAAGAAAGAAATTGTGCTTCTTTAGGGCCAAATTACTCTATAGTAGAAGAGGGTTTGTTTGGTTGTTTGGTTTTAGTCTGGTTTGAGACAAGGTCTCACTGTGTAACCTTTTTTGTTTTTGTTTAACTTTCTTCATCTCTGCTATGCAATCCTGGTGGACCTTGAACAGATTCCCCTGCCTCAGTCTCTCCAAGGAATGGGATTAGGGTTGTACAACAGGCTTGGTCCAAGGGCTGGAGTTTCTTTTTTATTATATATTGTTTTTTGTTTTCCAAGACAGGTTTTCTCTGCATAGCCCTGGCTATCCTGGAACTTGCTCTGTAGAGTGGTCTGGTTTCAAACTTACAGAGCTCCTCATGCCTCTGCCTCCTGAGTACTGGGATTAAAGGCACGTGTCACCACCACCCAGCAAGGGCTGAAGTTTTAAATAAGGTGATCATCATTTTTTTAAAAAAATTGTGAAGAGGGGAGATAGCTCAGCAGTAAGGACCCAAGGCTGCTCTCCTAGGGAACCCAGAGCCATTCCCAGGACCCACACGATGGTTCATAACTGGCTATAACTCCAGCCTGAGGGGATCTGATATCCTCTTCTGACCTCTTTGGGCATTGCACACACAGTGCACAGTAGAAATAAATGTGGACAAAGCACTTTGTGTGTGTGTGTGTGAGAAAGAGAGAGAGAGAGAGAGAGAGAGAGAGAGAGAGAGAGAGAGAGAGAGAGAGAGAGTTGTTACAGGGAGACCAGAGAAGGTAGTGAGCAAATGAGAGCCTGGCACTGCCACCATGCACGAAGGACTAAGGGTTTCGCCTGGATTTTTTGTTTGTTTTGTTTTTCGAGACAGGGTTTACTCACTTCTTGTAGCCCTGGCTGTCCAAGAACTAGCGCTGTAGACCAGGTCGGCCTAGAACTCAACGATAGGGAAAGATCTGCCTGCCTCTGCCTCCCAACTGCTTGGACTAAAGGTGTGCGCCACCACGCCCGGCTCCATCTCACTAGATTTCTGGCCACTTTTTGGCATTGAGCCTGAGGAGGAATCCCTGAGTGACTGAGACCTGGCTGGGGCAAAGACACAGAGGTAGCGACGAGCAGCAGGAGGCACCCGCCTCCTAGAGTCACACTGTGAGCAATGCTATGCTTAGGGGCAGATGTCGGGGGCGAAGGGATGGCAGTGCCGTCCCCTACTGATGACCAGCCCAGAAGAGCAGTCTGACTACGTACAGCTCGACCACTACGGACCCGACTGAATCGTACAACAAACGACCGGCGCTGCCCGCACCTGCCCATCCGGCCAATCGCTTGCTGTCTGCGCGCTCCCAGCCTACCCCGTGTCTCGCACGTCTCATTGGACACTGAAGCCACGCAGTGCACCAATGACCGAACTACCTTGCCTGGGGCGTGGCGCAGTCACTGCGCACGCGCTGGAAAGCAGGGGCGGGCTGGAGGAGCGACGGGAAAGCCAGGCTTCCCGGTAGCCGGCAGCCCTGGAGGACCCGGAACCTGCGGTTCGGCCGGAAGTGCCTGAAGACGACGAGGACGATGAGGAGGCTTTGCCACACTCTGAAGCCGTGGACGTGTTCCAAGAAGGTCTCGCCATGGTGGTGCAAGACCCGCTGCTCTGCGACCTTCCGATCCAGGTACGCGACAGGTCTCTGGGGTGTGGATGGGCACTCGTGGTCCCACCAGCGAAAGACGCTCCTGCTCAAAAGCCGAAAGTTTTGGGTGAGGGGACTTCAAAACACTCCCTCGCAGCGTAAAAAAGTTAGATTTAAACAAGTACTAAGATTTTAGCTCACGAACAGTGTGACCGGTCTTTTCATTTGCTTCAAGCGTCAATATGTGTGGGCACAATTCTTTAGTCTATTTTTTAACCTCACCCGTCAATGGGTGTTTTAATTTAACATCTGTGTGCACACAGAACTGGGCATCAAACTTGGAGCCTTTTGAATACTAAGCAAGTGCTCTACCACGGAGTTACACCATTTTCTCAATTTGCACGTCCCTCAGTGCTTTTGGTTTTTCGAGACAGGGTTTCGCTATAGTTTTAGAGCCTGTCCTGGAACTAACCCTTGTAGACCAGGTTGGCCTCGAACTCACAAAGATCCGCCAGCCTCTGCCCCCCAAGTGCTGGGATTAAAGGCGTGCGCCACCACCACCTGGCTTCCCTCAGTGTTTTATTAAAACATCTCTTGTGTCACCAGGAGGTGTTGGCGCACGCCTTTAATCCACGCCTTTAATCCCAGCACTTGGGAGGTGGAGACAGGCAGATCTCTGTGAGTTCCAGACCAGCCAAGGTAACTAACATAGTGAGTCCCTGCCTCAGAATAAACAAACAAAAAAGATTTTGTCATCACTGCCTTTTGGTAGCTGATAAATTTTGCACCCCTGCCCTGACTCAACCTAGTGCTCGACGCTCTTTATGGAGGGCTCTCAGAATTATAATATTCTCCTCTTGTGCAGCTCCATCTCTGTGCCTGTTCCTTTACCCCCTTGGGAGACTTTCTAATAGAAAACCCTATTGCATAGCAGGCAAGAACCCCGTATCTTGGCCCTTCATAATCCAGGGCACCATGAGCTTGGTTTCTGTTGTTGTTCAGGTGTTAAGAGTCAGTATCTCCCCTTTCCTTTGGTCTTTCCCAGGTCACTTTAGAAGAGGTCAACTCTCAGATCGCACTGGAGTATGGCCAGGCAATGACTGTCCGCGTGTGCAAGATGGATGGAGAGGTAATGCGTAAGTACCGTCGACGTCGTTGCTTTCCTCTCGCTTAGAGGCACCGCGATCAAGACAGCTTAGTGAGGAAAATGTTTGTGAGGGCTCACAGTCGCAGAGGGCTAGAGTCCATGACCTTCGTGGCAGGGAGCATGGCAGCAGGCAGGTCTGGTCCTGGAGCAGTAGCTGAGAGCGAGCTAACTGCAGTGGTGTGGGCTTTTGAAACCTCCAAGCTCACCCCCAGTGTCCCCTCCTCCGACAAGGCCACACTTCCTATGATTTCCAAACAAACAGCTCCACTGAGAACAAACATTCGAATACATGAGCCCCTGGGGGCCATTCTCATTCAGACCACAGCCACCCTTCTCTCTAAGCCTGAGAGTTCACAGCGGCAGGATACTAGCAGAACTAGTCTGTGAGAAGCTCAGGCCATGCCCGGGTGTGTTGAGCCAGAACAGAGCCCTGGGTGTCTCCCATCGCCTGGGCTTTGTATGTGTGCCACACAGATCTTTCTCCTGTATGTGTTCATGCAGCTGTGGTCGTCGTACAGAATGCCACGGTCCTGGACCTGAAGAAGGCTATCCAGAGATACATGCAGCTGAAGCAGGAGCGGGAGGGAGGCATTCAGCACATCAGCTGGTGAGAGGGGCAGCAATGCCTTCCCTGTGCCATCCCTGGGATTGCGTGGGGGGCACTCCAAGGAGGCAGCTTCAGCTCCTCTGTGTATACCGCCAAGGCTCCGCTACCAAGGAGCGATGCCCCAACAGTCCCGTGTCAGGAGCGCTTTCAGGTTGGGCAATTCTGTGCCTGAGGGTCCTGCCTCAGTTGTCCTTTCTTTTTTTTTTAATATTTATTTATTATGTATATAATATTCTGTCTGTGTGTATGCACCAGACCCCATTACAGATGGTTGTGAGCCACCATGTGGTTGCCGGGAATTGAACTCAGGACCTCCGGAAGAGCAGGCAAGGCTCTCAACCTCTGAGCCATCTCTCCAGCCCCCTCAGTTGTCCTTTCTAGACATAGCCTTCCACAGACCTTACCCTACCTGCACTGCTGGATATCTTCACTGGGAACACCTGACACCTCAATGTCTCCCTAGTTATAGATGGAATATCTGTCAGTGGCCCCCTTCCCTCCTCGCCAAGGCGCTGTTGGCCCTGCCTCTCGTATTGGATCAAATTTCCTGTGTTCTGACTCTCCCCCTGCATCACCTATTTCATTAGCCAGATGAGTCGGTATGTCCTACGGCTGCCTTGGGCCGACCGTATCATGTAGGGAAAATGTCCAGAAGGGGAATAATCTGTCCCGGGTGCCACAGGCTGTGTGCCGGAGCCTCTGTCATCCCAGCTGCTCAGCCCACCCTCCTAGGGGTAGCGTGTGCATCACTTAAGTCCTCCTCCGCAGGTCCTACGTGTGGCGGACGTACCATTTGACCTCAGCTGGGGAGAAACTCACAGAGGACAGGAAGAAGCTCAGAGAGTAAGTCTTGTCCACCTCCTGAGCTGGAGGTGGCCCATCGCTGCCTGTGCGCCCCCAAAGGTCCCTGGCTGGCCTGATTGTCCGGTGGACGTTTCCTTGGGGCCTCCCACTTAATGCTGGACAGGGAAACAGCCCTGCTGTTCTCACAGCGGCCTGGGGCTGCATCAAGGAGGCCAGGTTGAGGAGGAAGAAGGCTCGGGCCATCTTCACCTGATTGTTCCTGATCCATCATAAGCCCGGGTGGTCCTTCTGTAGATCAAGCACTGTACCTTTGTCTTTTTCAGTTATGGCATCCGGAATCGAGATGAGGTTTCCTTCATCAAGAAGCTAAGGCAAAAGTGAATCCCGGACAGAGTGACCACATCAAGATGGCGCCCTCCCCTTGTCCTCACAGAAAAGGGTGTTGGGGTAACTGTATCCCTAGTTTGCCCGGGTGGAACCATCAGCATAAGACCTAGAGCCCTCAGAAGACGGAAAGTTCCTCTGTCCCGCACTTTCCTGTGAACTCAGCCTTGAAGGTCCTACACGGTTGTGGGCCTGACCTATTGAATAAATCTGTTTGCTTTGTATTTGGAAAAATCAGAAAGTCACTCCGTGTGGGTGACTCCCATACCAGAGGGAGGTGAGGGCAGACATACCTAAGCCCTGGGTCCACACTGCTCACCTTTCTGCCATGGCCCTCACATGGAGTGACCCAAGCTGAGTCGAAAGCTTTGTTTCTGGGGGTGGGGGTTGGACACAGGAACCTCCCATCCCAGGGCCTGTGGTAGGATCTAGCAGGTGACAGTGGGAGTAGAGGCCTCCACCTACAGGTTCCCGATAGCCATGTTTCTCTCAGGCTCAGTGGAAAGAGAGAGTGATGAAGAATGAATTACAGGGGTGCAGTATGCTCCCCACTGCAGAGATACAGCAGCACTCCCCTGGGTTCATGTCCCAACACTGGCTACTATGCCCACTATGAAAATTCACAGAGAGGTGACAGCCAGTGATGTCTCTGACGCAGGGAAGTGGTTCTCAACCTTCCTAAAGGTATGATCCTTTAATGCAGTTCCCCATGTTGTGATGACCCCCCCCCCGACCATAAAATTATTTTCGTTGCTACTTCAGAACTAATTTTGTGGCCAGGTGGTGGTGGCATGAGCCTTTAATCCCAGCACTCGGGAGGCAGAGGCAGGCAGATCTCTGTGAGTTCGAGGCCAGCCTGGTCTACAGAGTGAGTGCCAGCATAGCCAAGGCTACACAGAGAAACCCTGTCTCAAAAAAACAAAAAAATGATAATTTTGCTATAGTTATGAACCGTAATATAAATATTTTTGGAGATACAGGTTTGACAAAGGGGTTGCCACCCATAGGTTGAGAACCGCTGACAACGGGAATTGTATGTCCAAGGTCTTTGTGGCCTCTTCCCCCACAGCCCCAGCCAGAAATCAGGAAAGGCGACAACAGGTCAAGTTAGTGGCAGCTAAAACGCTCCCAGCCCATTTATTGGCCACATGAAGTGGTCGTCGGGGACTAGTTAGAAGGTTATCGTGGGAACTCATGTAGTAAATGTCCAGCCGTATAAGGGTTCAACAGGAGCGAGCAAGGAACAGAGGTCAGAGTTCAGGGAGCACCATGTGTTCAGCCCCGGGAGGCTGGGGTGTCCTAGGGTGCCCACAGCTGCTTCAGTGGAGCTGCGCGTCCAGTTCGTACTTCTCACAGAACTTGTCGGTGAAAGGGATGCAGGTGAGAAACTCGCACCACTCACAGCGGACCGGGTAGAAGTAGAAGAGTACCACCAGGCCAGCCAGCAGGCCCAGGAAGACCGCCTGGAAGATGATGATCTGGCAGCGCTTGCGGTACAGGTCAAACTTGCCAAAGCTGATGTACGGCAAGAAGGCAAAGGAAAGGAAAAGGCCACTGATGAAGCCTGAGATGTGGGCGAAGTTGTCGATCCAGGGCAGCAGGCCAAAGGCAAAGAGGAAGAGCACCACGGCCAAGAGCTTGAAGAAGGCACGCCAGGGTCGAGCCAGGATCTGCCAGCTCTGGAACAGCTCCACGAAGAGGCAGGCCAAGATACCAAACTGCGAGCCAGCCGGACCTACCTGGTGTTGGG